CACTCCGCACTGCTGGAATGTTCCCCTCCCCCCGCCCTCTTTCCTGAGGCGGTTCCGTTGCGCGGCTTCGGGCGCTTCATGCTCAGTGGGGACACTGAGTGGACGAGGCGGCCTCAGGCCAATGGATAAGGCAGTCAGGAAGCCGTTTGGTTATTTGTTTGGAAAAGGGAATGAAGGAGGCACTGGTGGGGCTGTTTAGTTGTTATTTCTGATTGGCCTGTGCTGTGGTTTCAGGCGCTTCGCTGGTACTATCGGCAGTACTTCCTGGTCACCGGCTTGTACATGCTTGAGCCCTGGGAGCGGGCTCTGTTTAGCTGCTCACTGTTGGCTCTTTGTGCTGCTTCAGTCGCCGCCACCTACACTTTCTGCATTTCTGCTTTCTGAGGTTTGCTTTGTTCGCACACTTCCTTCTCACTCTGATTGCATGCGTCACTTTGCTCGCGCACTCAGCAGCGTTGGTTTCTCGGGCTTACTGAAATGCGTGAAGCAGTGCTTCTCACTGGACATTTCGTTTTCTTGCAGCACGTGGCCAGCCTCTGATGCACTCCATCCCTGCAGGCACATAGCTTAGCCGTTGTGGCGCTCATACCGGTGAGCAGTTATATCGTGATCGGAGACGGCTCTGCTTGACTGGTTCAGGTAGCTTTGAAGAGCCTTTGTTTCAGAAGTTGCCAAGAGGCAGATGAGTGAAAGCGGCAAGGTGGAAGTGCTGCTGAAGGCAGTCGGCGACGCCCCAATCATGAAGCAGACGAAGTGGACGGTGGATGAAAATAAAACGGTCGCCGAATTAACGATCTTCTTGCGCGCATACTTGAAGGTGAGTCAGTAGCGTAAGTCTCTCAATCATGCACGTGCTTAGAATAGTTGAGAAGACACGCGAGTCCGTGGCAACAGAAAAAGAAATAGCAACGCGCACCAGACTAGTCGGTGCGATCATACATTTTGTACAATTCAGCCCATCGAACGATTGCCTGTTAGTGATTTTCACTGCTTTGTACTTTAGTCTATGCAAAAATAGTTCAAACATGAGAAAATAGTTAAAAATTTCACTCAGTAGCGCATGAAAGCTGAATTCGAAACCTTAGAGGGTGAATATTTTTATCCCGAGTTAATAGTTTACTCGCCAAAATTTTCACGAGGCGGTAGGTGATACTCAAGAGCGCGGGAACCCTGAATTTGAATAGGCAAGGTTGGGCGTGGGCAGGGGGTCATTACCCTAAAATTTCAGCTTCCTGGACCCTGTGATTCCCGGGATAACAATTTACCCGTAAAAACTTTCGCTAGCCTGTAGGTGATGCCCGAGAGCGCTGGAACGCTGAATTTGAATAGGTAAGGTTGAGCATGAGCAGGGGGTCATTACCCTAAAATTTCAGCTTCCTAGACTCCGTTTTTCCCGAGATAATAATTTGTCCGTCAAAAATTTTCACGGGGCCGTACGTGTTACCCGCAGTTACAGGAAGGTTGAATTTGAAATTTCTGGGTCTCACGTAGTCAGGGGACACACCCATAAAATTTTAACTTCCTTGCTTTCGTAGTTCCCGAGATACTGATTTTACCCGAAAAACTTTTACGGGGCCGTTCTTGTTACCCGCGGGTACGGAAGACTGAATTTAAATTTGCCGCGTCATCCGCTGACGGGGAACACTATACCAAAATCTCAGCCCCCTAGCTTTTGTGATTTCCGAGTTGAAAGTGCGGGACAAAATGTGGGACACACACACAGACAACCCCGTGACAATATGCGTTTTGTACTGCTGTTATACAGCACAAAACGCATAAAAACAACAGTAAATTGCAGCGCACACCAGAATAGCCGTTGCGATCATGCGTTTTATGCAATTCTGTCCATCGGCCGATTGCCTCTTAATGATTTTCACTGCTTTCCACTTTGGCCTGTGCAAAAATAGGTGAAACGTTGAAAAATAATTAGAAATTCCACACACCGGCAAACGGAAGCTGAATTTGGAACCTCGAAGGGTGAATATCCTTCCAAAATTTTAATCCTAATTTTCTGGCTTTCGAATGATCTTTGGCACAAAACTTTCAAATGATCGTACGTGAAACCTTAGCATACTTGGGAACTGAATTCGAGTTTGTGAAGCCCCTGCTTAGGCAGTAAACATTCTCCTGAAATTTTCAGCCTCCTAACTCTGCTGGCTTCCGAGTTCATGACTTTTCTCGCCAAACTTTCACCGGGACGTTGAAAATTTGCGAAGTTGTACGTAGGCAGGGGATGACACGCGAAAACTTCAGTTTCCTAGTTTTTGCAGTTCACGAGATAATCATTTCCCTACCAGAACTTTCACGGGGCCGTACGTCGTACCCAGGGGTGCGCAAAGGCTGAGTCCAAGTTTGCGAGGTCGTTGTTGATAGGAGACATCATCCTAAAATTTCAGATTCTCAACTTTCGTGATTCCCGAAATAATAATTTCCCGCCCCACAACTTTCAGGGACCATAAGTGATACCAAAGAGCGCGGGGACGCTAAATTTAAATTGGCAACGGTGTACGTGGGCGGGGGCTGGGGTGTCATTACCTCGAAATTTCAGTTTCCTAGGTTTCGTGGTCCCTGAGATAATAATTTACCCGCCAAAATTTTCACGGGGTCGTTCGTGTTACCAGCAGGCAGGAGAAGGCTGAATTTAAATTTTTTGGGTCACATATGAGCAGGGGACATGCTCAAAAAATTTCAGCCTTCTAGCTTTCGTGGTCCCCGTAATAATAATTTTACCCGCCAAAACTTTTACGGGGCCGCACGTGTTACCTGTGGGTACGGTGAGGCTGAATTTAAATTTGCGGATTCACACGTGGGTGGGGAACGTGACCTGAATTTTCAGCTTCCCAGCTTTTGTAGTTACCGAGTTGAAAGTTGCGGACAAGTTGCTGCGGAACACACACAGACAGCTTCGTGACAATATGTGTTTTGTGTAGCTGTTGCACAGCACAAAACGCATAAATAAAGTCGGCGATGCATTTCGCTGTTCTGTGTACTTGATGAGTTCTGTGTACAGGTTTTGCTGGCGTGCCCGGGAGGTGAAGCTTTGTTTAAAAGAGAGTTTGCTTCTTTCATGCGCCTGCACTACCGCTGTTTCAGCTGAGCAATGCGGACTCGTTGCTGCTTTATGTAAACCAATGTTTCGCGCCATGGCCCGACCAGACAGTGCGCAATCTGAAGGAGTGCTTTGCACATGGCGACTCGAAACTTATCATCAACTATAGCAAAACGCAAGCCTGGGGCTGATTGCACCCATTCTGTGAAGTGTGTCTCCAGTTTATGGGTAACAGTGAGGTGCTTCAGGTCAAAAATGTGTGCATTTCGAGAGTGGCTTCTCCAGTAGTTGATTCACGTGTGTTTTGGCCCTCTTCTGTTTCACTTCAGAATCCACGCATGTCTGGGATAGAACGGAGCATTATTGTTTGTGCTTTCTTTGTCATGCGTCTCTTGTGCTTTTCGCTTTTCTTACACTGTTTTCCGAATAAATACTAGCCTCCTTCAGTTTTTTTGTTACAGCAAAGCTCAGATAGTATGTCCATGGGCTGCTTGGTCACCCCAAGCATGTTTGCTCTTAAAACATTGCACTGGCGGCAGAAATCCTGATTTTGTGCAATTTTTCCTGAATGCTTGAATTGTCGTATTGCATTGATGTATTTCTCCGGTGTCTTTGCGCACCTCATCTTATCATTTGTGTTGCAGTAAACGTTTAAATGTATAGTAGTTTGTTTCGCTTTGTTCATTCATTTCATGCGACCATGAAGCATCACTTTGCCTTTTCTGAGACGCGTCATAGTACTGGTAATACCAGCGTACAGCTGCTTCCTCTGCCCTGGAATATTCTCCTAAATGTTCTTCCTTTTCGAGAAGGAACAGCTCTCATTGCTTAAATGTACCAATTCACTGTACTTTTGCCATCAATTACGGTTCTGTGAAAATGCAGTGCCATGAGGTCGTGTCTTTTTGCGTTTGCGCCGGATAATTCGTGTGCAGTACTGTGAAGGCTAGGACGCGGGGTGCCCAGTGTGCGTGTTGCAACGTGACTACAAGAGAGGCTTCTTGCACAACAAAACCAAACACACAGCAGTGCAGGACTCTCTGCTCACCTGTCAAGCAAGCTTTATGTGTTGGTATCAGATGTCCCGAAACCCGGAAATCTCGGTTGTTATCACTGCGCAGTGTTTCAGTTTCGAGCTGCTGTAAATTTGAAGTTTTATTAGTGCGAATTCGAAGTTCCGGTGATTTTCAGCTACCGGATAAAAGAAAGGCGCGGTAATCTGGGCATTATCTTGACATCCGAGCATTCATTGTTTCCATTTGTCCTTTCATACAAATTGCTGATCGATTTCGTTTACTAAATTTTTGTAGTGACCTTTCAAAAGACATTTCTCATCCCCACGTGTCTTACGCCACTCAGCTTTTTCAAAATTGTTCGTTTCGAAAAAGTGCTGAGTGCTCAGCTACTTCAGGGGGGAAGTGGCTGGTGCTGCTGAAGTTTTGACAGCGTTAATTTGTGGGATTTGCTTGTGGGAGTGTTGTAGTTTGTTTCAGGATGGCCTTTTGGGTGGTGCCTAGACGGTAAGCGAGCGGAAAAATACATGGTGTGAAAGTGAAATAAAACTTGTACAATGAAGCACTCGCTGCTGTCATCGTTAAGCCGCAATCTGAGCGGGCAGGTTGGCGATTCTTTTGCTCTCATTGCAACTTTTTGAGTTTTTATATGTTTTGTGCTCTGTAACAACAATACAAAACGGTTATTTTCACGGCGTGTGTATGTATATGCGTGTGTGTGTGTGTGTGTGTGCGTGTGTGTGTGTGTGTGTGTGTCCCACACTTTGAAATCGGAAACCAAAAAGTTAGGTGGCTGAAATTTTAGTACAGTTTTCCCCGCCAACGTGTGACGCGGTAAATTTAAATTCAACCTTCCCGTACCCGCGGGTAACACATGCGGCCCCGTAAAAGTTTTCCGGGTAAAATCAGTGTCTCGGGACCAACGGGAGCTAGAAAGCTGAAATTTTGTGGGTATGCCCCCAACTTACGACCCAGAATACTCAAATTCACTCTTCCTGTACCCACGGGTAACATATACGGCCCGGTGAAACTTTTGGCGAGTAAACTGTTATCTCGGAAATCACGGAATCTAGGAAGCTGATAGGGTAATGATCCTTGCCCACGTACGGCCTCGCAAACTCAGTGTTCCCACACTGTCGGGTATCACTTACCTCCCTTTGAAACTTTTAACGGGTAAATTATTATTTCGGGAACCACGGAAGCTGGGGAGCTGAAATTTTATGAGTATGTCCCCTGCCAACGTGCGACCTGGAGAACTTAAACTCAACCTTCCCGTGTTTGCCGGTGACACACACAGCCTCGTAAAAGTTTTAGCGGGTAAAATCATTATTTCAGGAACCGCGGAGGCGAGGGAGCTGAAATCTTACGGGTATGCCCCTTGACCACGTACAACCCAGAAAATTTAAATTCATTTTTCCTGTACACTTGGGTATCGCGTAGGGCCCTGTGAAAGTTTTGACGGAAAAGTATCTCGGGAACTATGAAAGGTAGGAGGCCAAAATTTCAAGACGATATTTTCTGCCGCTGCAGATATCTCACAAACTCAGATTTAGCTCCCATTTATGCAGATGTCTTACGTAAAACCACGTAAAAATTGTGGTGTGAAAATCGCTAGCTTGGAAGCCGTAAAACTAAAAGGTCGAAATTAGGGGGGATGTGCCCTACCCGTGTTTTCAAATTCAGCTTTCACGTACCGGCACGTGAAATTTTCAGTGGGAAATTTCTCACCTTAGAAGCCAGACAGTATATCTACTATTTTTCCACGTGCGAAAGTGTAAAATAGTCATATTTTTAGTAAGCAAATGTCGGCTGGACGGAACTGCACAAAACGCATGATCGCACAGATCACCCTGGTGCGCTTCGCTATTTATTTAATCTTTCTATGCTTTCATAAATGGTGCGATGCACGGAACAGCTGCTTCTGGTTTTGTGCATTTCATGAGTCTCAACTTCTGCCATCACCGCTGCATGACTGGGAGTTCATGAACGGTGAAAGAGGCGAGAGGGAGTATTTGTC